GTTTAGGGTTTAGGGTTTCGAGAGGGTTTAGGGTTTGGGGTTGAAGACGTCCTAGCAAGGTTTCCTGGGATGTTGTTCTGGGCTCTATGTCAGGGCACAGCCATGTAACCACAAAACGGCCTCTGTGGGGTTGATCGGGGCTTGCTTTGAACACTCAGATCTCACGGCACTAGGCCGAACCAGCGATGGAATGCGAAGGAAGACTGCTCTAAATATGTGAGGACCTGTCAAAACATCACGGACGTCTCGCCATCACGCGGATGTTCGCACCGACAAAGTCTTGGCTACGCCCGTCCACGTGGAAGTCCTACAACCCGAAACCCACCAACAAAAACTAGCAGCGACTCCAGGCTCGAAACCTGAGCATGCAAACTACCCAATGAAACCCCAAAGACCCAAGGATCTAGGAGAAAGGGTGTCGGGCTTAGAACCCCAAAACCCGCTGAACACCTAAAACCTTCAACCCCAAGTCCTCAAGGCCCCGCAGTCCCCGCCCTAAGCCCTCAACACAACCACCGTCGCAATCACCCTGAGACCATAGCTTATAAACCCCCCCCCCCCCCCCCCACGGTTTAGGGTTTAGGGTTCAGGGTTTAGGGCTTAGGGTTCATAGGTACCCCCGTCCAAGTCATCCAAGAGGATGTTGTCGTCGAAGAAGATGTGGTGGCGATGATGATCCCGGGTGTCCACTAGGAGGGGTTTGCCTCGGCCCGAACAAGACCCCTTGAATAGCGATAAGGAATAAAGCGTAGAGCCGAACCCCTAAACCCTAAACCCTAAACTCTAAGCCACTAAATCCTAAACCCTAAACCCCCTAAACCACCCTAAACCCTAAACCCCCTAAACCACCCTAAACCCTAAACCCTAAACCCCCTAAACCCTAAACCCTTTAAAAGACAAGGATAAAGGAGGATCGAGGTTCGGGCCTTCGGGTTGAGGAAGAAACCTCCAAGCATGAAGAGGTGCGAAAAGTGGGTGGCTCAGGGCTTGTGGGAATGGCGTTTAGGGTTTAGCGTTTAGGGTTTAGGGTTTAGGGTTTAGGGTTTAGGGTTTAGGGTTTAGGGTATTTTGGGTTTAGGGTTTGGGGTTTAGGAGTTTAGTTTCGGAGTTTAGGAGTTTTGGGTTTAGGGTTTAGGATTTGGGGTTTAGGGTTTAGGATCGAGGCAGCTTGGGACGGTGAGAAGTGTAGCGTTTAGAGCCGAGGGTCTCAGGTTGAGGGCTAATATACAAGCTTAAATGATTACCTATATGTAAAATTCTTAGGGTTCCTTCATAAAATTATAGTATAAAGGGGTCCACAGCCCTATTCTAATTATTAAGGCCTCTACGTTAGATTTAGAAACCCTAAGCCCTAAACCCTTAAGCCTAAACCGCTAACCCCTAAACCCTAAACCCCTAAACCCTGAACCCTAATCCCTGATACCTAAACCCCTACACCCAAAACTCTAAACCCTAAACCCCTAAACCGGAAACCCAAACCGCGAACCCCTAAAACCTAAAACCTGGACCTAAACCCTCAACCCCAAAACCCGAAGCCCTGAAACCTGAACCCTAAACCCCTAAACCCCTAAACCCCTAAACCTTAAACCCAAACCGCTAACCCCTAAAACCTAAAACCGAAACCCTCAACCCCAAAACCCTAAGCCCTCAACCCTAAACCCTGAGCCCTAAACCCTAAACCCTAAGCCCTCAACCCTAAACCCTAAGCCCTAAGTCCTAAACTCTAAACCCTAAGCCCTCAACCCTAAGCGCTAAGTCCTAAACCCTAAGCC